GTGTATTACAATAGCTACGTCACAAAGAAATAATTTTATTTATTTGAAATCACTATGAACGTTTGAGCCAATCCGAATCGAACTTGCATGTTTGAATGCTTAGTCCGTTTTTTACACCTTTCCCAACGAAACACGGCATTGAAGGAAATTAACAAAACCTTCCAAATCGTTCGGATAAAGTTTATGCTTGAAGCTTCTGATGATGCTTTGGATGTAGCAATAGCTAATTGCTGGAAATCTATGATGCATTTAATAAAGAGCAGGTGATACATAAAACAAAGATATCATAGGCATTTTCGTGCAACGGATTCAAGTATGGAAGCTGTTTCTAGATGCTCCGCCAAAGAAGTTTTTCGATTATTATTAAATGGGTCTTTAGTGAATAACTGCCCAGAAAATCACTGACACTACAATACTTTTTGACTATTTGCATGTCAGTTGTAATGCGAGAGAAGTTCTCTAAACCATTCTAAGCTTAAGCCTTTAAAAATTATATATATGCAGGGTGACTTTGAAGTTGAGTAATTAATTTTCAGATAATGATTGTAGAAGGAAGATAAACCAAAATATGTGTGTAAAAATAAAAAAAAAATTACCTTGTTTTATAAAGTATCCTCCCAACAAGTATTTCAGTGCGGACCTGTATTTGATCGTGAGGTCTTGGAGCACCGGCATGCCCTCTCCTGTGAGGTCTTAAGTCACCTGATTCACGAGCCCGTTGTACTACATTAACAAAGGCACGAGGGGTTGGTTGCACTCGATTGGGAAACCGATCCGCATAAACATGTGCCATTTTCTATTTCGTTTGAGCCACGCAGCAAACACCACTATTCACTCACGCGTTACCGACTGACACATCGACTGAATAAAAACATGGTGATCAGCGTTTCAAATTCTTTCGCTTTTTTGTTTCCGATAGGATGAATCGATAAGGCGGATTATATCCGTTGTTGCCAAACACGAGCACATAATATTATTATTGAGACAGGGCGGTACTCAAACTTCTAAAGCGCTATAACTTTTGTTACTTTAATTTTACCACAAAAATGTTAAAGGAAAAAACATTTCTTTTGATCAGATCTACTCACTGTTAAAATAAATGACTCAACTTCGAAGTCACCCTGTATACAGGGTGTCCCAGAAGTCGACGTCAAGCCGAAACCGGGTGATAGGCAAAGTCGTAACAGCTATCAGACAAATATTTAAAAAAAATTTATGTATGTGTTTTGAAAATTATAGGTCTTTGAAAAAAATATAGAAATTTCACACCCTACGGCAGTCTGTCAACTCCTGTTACTACAAATATTAACGATTTTTGGATTTTATTTTTACAATGTAATGATGAATAATGCATCTTCAAACTGGTGTCTCAACCTTACTGCCAACTTTTCTCGTTCAGGAAAAATTGTCACTTATTTCCCAACCAAGTATTCCAAAGTAAAACTTTGCTCAACTTTAACTGGCTGTACTGGAAAACAATGTACTACGAGAGTTTGGCAAGTAACCTTAAAAGTTGGCGCATTTAATAACGATTCCAAAATAGTATAACACTTAGAAGATTACTCGTTAACTTATGCACAATTTTTATTTGAAGAAAAACTGATGTAAATTTTCCAAAATTTCCTAATTAAACAGCGATTATGAAAACGCACAAGGACCCTTAAGGATAACTGTTTGCACAACAGTGGGCGTCAAAAAGCTGCTGATGATGATTTACCTTTACAGCAAATGCTCAAACTGTTTTCCTTCAGCCGCAATACACGCTCGACATCTTCTTAAAAAAGATCGGGTTATTAAACGAGTGAATCCACGGTTATTAACAAACTCAGCTGCTTCCAATAGTCTTTGCCGTTGCTCAGCTACATTTTGAATCGGCTTGAAATACACTTTTTCTTTTACAGTTCCCCAGTAAAAAAATCTAAAGGATTCAAATCAGGTGATCGGGCTGGCCACGGTATTGTACCAGACCGCCTTATCCATCTGCCTGGAAAGTTTTGATCGAGATACTCTCTCACTGAGAGTGCATAGTGCGCTGGGCAGCCATCATACTGAAACCACATGTCCCTGTAAATACTCAGTGGCACGTCCTCCAATAAATTTTCTAAATGATTTTGCAAAAAACCTAAATAAACCTCAGCAGTCAAAGTCTCTGGGAACTCAAACGGACCGATTATTTTACCATTTAAAATTCCTGTCCAATGGTTTATCTTGAAGCGATATTGAGATTTATCTTCTCTCATCAAATGTGGGTTTGCTACGTGCCACTCGTCTAAGTTATGCAGGTTCATGTACCCATATTTCTTAAATGTGGTCTCATCCGACCATAAAATTTTTTCAAAGAATTGTGGATCTTTCCTGTGTCTTTCTAACATTGTGCGACAAAAAGCAACTCGGGGCTCATAATCCCGGGGCAGAAGAGGTTGAACACGCTGTATGTGGTATGGATGAAGCACATCACTTACTTGCTATTGCACACTTCGATACCGATCAGTACTCCTTCGTTTACTGCGCATCTTATTTGGATTTGGACTGTTTAATTGCTCTTCAAAACAACATTTGCTTTCCTTAGACTATCTTTGATAGTGTGATTGTGCAGTGCCGCTATGTCCGTGTACACCGTACAAGAATATGCTAACATGCACCTCATTTATGAGGAATGCAGATGCAACGCTAGTGCTGCAGCGAGACTTTACTGTGAGAGGTACGCGAATGCAGCTCGTCATCCAGAGCATCGAGTGTTCACAAATGTGCACCGCTTACTGTTCTCAGAGGGCCAACTACCAAACCAATCACACGGTGAGGGAAGATCTTTCCTTCCTTACGAAGACGTGGTGCTAGGAGCTGTCGAAGAAGACCCGGGTACTTCAGTGCGTGCAATAGAACTAAAAACAGGTATGCCCAAAAGTACAGCCTATGGAATCTTGCAAAAAAACGTGCTCCATCCATACCACGTACAGCGTGTTCAAGCTCTTCTGCCCTGGGATTTTTGCAAAATGATTTAGAAAATTTATTGGAGGACGTGCCACTGAGTATTTACAGGGACATGTGGTTTCAGCATGATGGCTGCCCAGCGCACTATGCACTCTCAGTGAGAGAGTATCTCGATCAAAACAATATCGTGGCCAGCCCGATCACCTGATTTGAATCCTTTAGATTTTTTACTGGGAAACTGTAAAAGAAAAAGCGTATTTCAAGCCGATTCAAAATGTAGCTGAGCTACGGCAAAGACTATTGGAAGCAGCTGAGTTTGTTAATAACCGTGGATTCGCTCGTTTAATAACCCGATCTTTTTTAAGAAGATGTCGAGCGTGTATTGCGGCTGAAGGAAAACAGTTTGAGCATTTGCTGTAAAGGTAAATCATCATCAGCAGCATTTTGACGCCCACTGTTGTGCAAACAGTTATCCTTAAGGGTCCTTGTGCGTCTTCATAACCGCTGTTTAATTAGGAAATTTTGAAAAATTTTCATCAGTTTTTCTTCAAATAAAAATTGTGCATAAGTTAACGAGTAATCTTCTAAGTGTTATACCATTTTGGAATCCTTATTAAATGCGCCAACTTTTAAGGTTACTTGCCAAACTCTCGTAGTACATTTTTTTCCAGTACAGCCAGTTAAAGTTGAGCAAAGTTTTACTTTGGAATACTTGGTTGGGAAATAAGTGGCAATTTTTCCTGAACGAGAAAAGTTGGCAGTAAGGTTGAGACACCAGTTTGAAGATGCATTATTCATCATTACATTGTAAAAATAAAATCTAAAAAAAGTTAATATTTGTAGTAACAGGAGTTGACAGACTGCCGTAGGGTGTGAAATTTCTATATTTTTTTCAAAGACCTATAATTTTCAAAACACATACATACATTTTTTTTAAATATTTGTCTGATAGCTGTTACGACTTTGCCTATCACCCGGTTTCGGCTTGACGTCGACTTCTGGGACACCCTGTATATATATTTTATATATAAGATGGCTCTCAGTTCTTAGATTCAGATTCATACAAGTGTTGACAATATCAAAAACTTCAATCTGTAAACTTTGAAAAGTATTAACTCTTACATTATGGGTAAAACGGTGTTAACTCCTTGTTAAAACCTTTTTCCACTCAAATTTAAATTTGATTACGTTTGAACACGTTTCGTGAAAAGTTTTGTTTTTCTGATTTTTATTACAACATTTGGACTGCTTTTTTAGATGGATAAGGTATCTGAAGTTTTAGTATTTTATTAGCATGTAAGATTATATAAAAAAATGAATCTAGTGATCGTTTAAAATGTAAAAATAAGTTTTTTAAAATTGCAAAGCACACACAACTTCAAATTTTTGATAATAAATACAATTTTTTTAACAAGACTGTCTATTTGAGATACTTTATGTGTCTAAAATAATAAAAGCAGCCCTAACACTATTCAATAAAAAATGTCAGGATTTAAACTTTGAGCCCAATTATCTCCAAACTATAAAATCTGATTTAACACCTTTTTGCACCAAAGACTTCCATGTGTGTGAAAAAACACTTTAAAAAAAAAATAGATTTAGCAAAATTTAGGTGCGAAAACATTCATAAAATTCTCTCATAAATAATCAAAATCTGCCTGATATTTAAAGATGCATAAATATACGAATACCAGCATTTTGCTGTTAAAGAAACTATTATTTTATTGGAACATAACGTTTTGTTTTGTTATTGTTGAGGGCGGAAGATTTTTTTAAAAATAGTCATCATTTGTTACTTGTCGTTTTTAGGCACGTCACAATTTAGTGCATTTAGGAGGATTTCACTTATTCTCTTCGCATTGATCACTTCACACTTACTATAATAATTATAAGAATAAAATACAATACAAATAAACGATTTTTTCACCTATTTGTGTCATTAATTTTTTAACCATTATATAATGATCAATTTCTTAACAAATGGAGGCCTCATTCAGTTTCACGGCCCATGGCCTCCGATGGGTTTAGTGGGACACTGTGGATGCCGACCTTAAAAATAAACTAATTAAAGCATTTCACTCTTTTATTATATATATATATATATTATAACAATGCATACATGTTTTCGTAATATTAACTTATATTTTATATCAAACCGCGACGAAACGTTCCAAGAAAGCTTTTATCCCCCAACAAGTGGCATTACCAGTGTCAATGTCTGAAAAATAAAAATACTCGAAAGTATTAAAAATAATTTGAACTAACAGAAATCCTACCTTTCTAGCCCTATCAAACGTCGAAGTGCAACCCTTTTGTTTAACTATGTAAGGAACAAAAATATCTAAGAGGTAGCCTCTAGCTTTTGACTCCAAAATAATTCTATCTTCACCGACGTCCAAGGTTACTTCCTTTGCAGAAATCTGCAAAATATACAGGAAAACGATTTATAATTTTTATGACATGTTACTTATGACGTTAGATGACCTGTAAGAAGTAATCGATGAGATTTAAGACCGGAGTTTGAGGTTTGAGCAAGACATAATCGAGGCGATCCATTGATCTCCGAATGTTTCTTAAAAAATGATGAAGAATGCAGGCTTTCGAAAACCTCCAAAGAATAAACTTCAAAATAATACTATCTAATAATTATACTAACCACATCAGGTAACTTAAATTCTCCATAAAGACAGTTTTGACCGACTTTCTTTTTGAACAACCTATACATTGGTTCTCTTCTTGGAGTTTCTGTACTCGATATCGTCTCTATCATCACCTAAAAATATAAATTTACTAAATGCTTTGGTTTCTCGAGTGAACATTCCACACAATAATCAATAACCTTAGAATTTGTCTGTGTTTCCCCTGTCAGTTCACTAATAAGTGACTTTTGTCCTGGGGCTTCTTGCATTTTTTGAGCAACCTCTCTTTGTTGAATCCTATGTTGCTGTAGTTTTCCAAATGCCCTTTTGTTTCGTAAAAGTATTTTCTCATCTTCAAAAATTATCTTGTATTTATCTTCTAGCCTAAGTGAGTGAAACTGTTAAAAATTATTTACTTCGGCAAAATTGTCTTACCCAGAGAATACCACAGCTATAAAGAAGCTCTTGAACTCCTCAATTGTATCGACTTTATGAAAGAAGCTTGGATGTATCGCGACATCAATAACTTTGACTTGTTGTCCTTTGTTATCTTTTTCTGATTTTACGTCTCCAATGCTCATTGGTACCTATAAGAATGATATACAGTGTGTTACTACAAATAGTATACGACTCGAGAATCGTAGAAAAGGTAAATTGGTGCAAATGCTCAGTGCTGTCCATTCAGCAATTTGTCATACATGATAGAGCGTGGCGCTAATCACACACCGAGTCAGCCAATATTGCAATTTATATTCACTACGATGCTCAAGTGTAACACACACACACACACCCGCACACACACCTGTGGGAGATACAGCTTACGTTAAATTGGGAAAAAGCTGCGATCTTTGCAGCGTATTTTCATGACGTTGAACAACTTGTGAACATTTCATAGCTCGATATTCGGGAAAAACTAAAATTTAGCTAAATCGTTTTTATTTTTTTATGACTTTATTTTAAGGAATACCAAAAAAACTAATGGACATTTTTCAATAGCACTTTTTAGGCACTACATGATGTTTTTAAGTTTTGTGCCCGACATTACGTTTTCGAGAAACCATCTTCCACTTGCATTTTTTATATGGTCTAAAAACCTAATAGCATCTTTTTCTATGAATTCAACGATGTATCACATGTTACATTTGTTTTCTTAGTTATAAAGGAAAATGCATTTTTTTTATTTTATTCAAGTAGGCGTTGCAACCAAATGCTTGATGTAAGATTGTGTGATGGGGTAAAATTTTATAAAACTATGCTTAATCTATAGTCTAATCATCTTAGCAAATTTCTCCGAAATAATTGTAAAGTCTTGTTTTTCTAGTGCAAGTTGTTCAAGGGGGTATTCAAAACATGGACGCATAAAATGGGTACACCACTTTTTGTGGCAAAACTGTTTATTTGACAACAAAGAATGAGAAAAATGAGAAAACGTGTTTTTGGGATTTACTGGAAAGTGTTGACAGGAACGAAAAAACTTTTCAGACAAGATTTTTAGGTAAAAATGTTATGGCCGATAAACGAGGCAAAATGCAGGTTTTGGCACTTGGTAATGCGACGGTAATTTCACGCAACTATTTGAAATTCTTCAAACCCGTAAGATTCATACTTCTAAATAACAACAAAAAAAAAATGGATTATATTGGTCAAGTAGTTTTTTTAGTACTTCTAATTGTTTATCTCAAAATACCTGTTTTCCGGCCATCACTACTAGTTTATTGAGCAATATACAGGGTTCGTTCAAAGAGCATTTAATAGAAAAATACACGTGTTTACCTTGCCGATATGAATCACAAACCATTCCGAAAGATAAATGTTAGTTTCATGCAAAAAAGGAATACGTGTTTTTTCTTCTAAACAAATTCAAACATTTCGTATTTGTGAGTAATTGAACAAATGCGCTACGATATTCAAAAAATATACGTGATTATACAGATTTTAAAACAAAGCGGATGTTTCTATCATCTATTGTTGCGAATTACTCACAAATACGAAATGTTTGAATTTGTTTAGAAGAAAAAACGTAACCCATCCTTTTTTGCATAACAATAACATTTAAACTAGTGTATTTTGCTATAAAATGTAATTTGAACTATATTGAACTGTATATTGCTCAATAAACTAGTAGTGATGGTCGGAAAATAGGTGTTTTGGGATAAGCTATTGGAAATTTTCAAAAACTACTTGACCAATCTACTGCAATTTTGTTGTGTTTTTGCCTAGGTTTTCGGCCATAACTTTTTTGCTATTAGTCGGATCTTTTCAAGTGTAGTCTCATTTTGTTGGTCTTATAAATACTTACAAATCTTATATGAAGAGTTTTTTCGTTCCTGCCAACACTTTCCATTGAATCCCAAAAAACACGTTTTCTCATTCTTTGTTGTCGAATAACAAGTTATCCCACAAAAATTGGTGTACTGATTTTATGCGTCCATGTTTTGAATACCCCCTTGAACAACTTGCAGAAATAAAACCAGACTTTACAATTATTTTGCAAACCAGCGGTATTTTCGTCTAATATGATTAGAGTACTACTAGTAATATTCAGAATAACGAATACATTTTTAAAATTTCTATTTTTTTCACAATACGTGTTCAAATAGGTTGCCACTATTTTCTAAATATAAATTTGATCTATCAGTAGAATTAAAAAAATCACGTAACATTTCAGGTGTAATCATAGTAAATGCTTCCATCACACATTCTCTTAATTGCTATTTAGTTTCAAAAGTATGCTGATAAACTTGGTTTTTAATAAAACCCCAAACAAAAAAGTCCAGAGCAGTTAACTCCGGGGAACGCCCTAGACAGGACACTTTGCTGGAGGTTCTAATTCACCTTCCGGGAAATCGCTGAGAAATATACTCTATTTTGAGTTTCCTCTGATTCCTTTTTTCGAGATATATTAGGCTTTTTGAAGGAACCATATTCATTTAAATTTCGAGCCAACTTTAAGAAAACGGACTTACTTGGCTGCCGTCTTTCATCTTTTTTTCATTGCTAAAATGACCGCCTGGCATCTTTGACGATAACAAATATTAACAATACACAATAATAACAATACTCGGTGACAGGTATTCACGTCAAGTCAAGCATTTGTTTGCAACTACTTAAAAAAAAACAGAAAAATGCATTTTTCCACCCAACCAAGAGAATAAATGTAACATGTGGTACATCGATGAATGTGTATAAAACATTCTATTAGATACAGGGTGTACGTTTTTCGGACCATCGGGCACAAAATTTAAAAACCCCATCATGTAGTGCATAAAAAGTGCAATGGAAAATGCTGTCGTTTTTTAAAATAAATTCAAAAAAATTAAAATGATTTAGCCAAATTTTAGGTTTTCCCAAATATCTGAGGTACTATAAGCCATTAAGTTTTTACAAGTTTCTCATCGGCATGTAAATATGCTCCAAGGAATGCAACTTTTTCCTAATCTAACCTAAGCTGTGTATCACCCAGGTATTGACATTCCCATGCATAGGATACTTATCTCAATCACCCTGTATAGAGACGTTAATTAGATATTACGACGGTAAGTGAAAAAATCTCGGGCCGAAAATGAAAGACTGCAACTTTCAGTTAAAGCATTATTTTACTTTTTTGCATAATCCGATTTGACTCTAACACTCATAGTTCAATGTTTCTCATCATTAGGACTCCTACTTGAAAGTGAAGTGAAAGTCTGTCAATATATTCATCTACGGTCATCTCAACCATAGAGGTATTTTGCCCTAGAGCCAAAAGTGGGGCGGCAACCGTAGCGCTTTCCAAAAAGAATTTTTTGGGAACAGACGGAAGTTTGAACGTACTAAATCATGAGAACAGGAGAATAGGAGTGGTGGTTAAGCAAATCATTCCCCAAATCCCACAGTTTTCCCATTGCAAACCCTCATTTGTGAGAAGATGCGTTGTTTTGACAGAAAATTAATTTTCTTCCTAAAATTACTTCACTTCAAAAAGAAAACAATAAAAGAGCGCTGACGGTGACCCGGAACCGTATAAATCTAGAAATACCCTAGTCTTTTTGAATGAGAGAAAATACTATCAAAATCAAGGAGGCCATAAAGGCGATCTGCAATAATTATTGTAGGAACGATTGACGATATGGTACTTAGTTATTTATTTTTTTATGTAACAATTCTATTGGTTGTAAGTATTTATCGTTATAAATAACAAATTACTATGTCTCCAAAAGAATAATTTTGAAAAATATTCTTCGTTTAACTTCCCATATAAGTAAACATGGTGTTTCAAGATTATTTATATAATTATTTTTGTTAAGTGTAATTATTCAATGTAATCATATAATTGTTAAATTCATGTTGAACAGGTTTGGTTTTGTGCTATTTATGTGGATTTCAATATGAACAAATTGTATGAAAATAAAATCGAATTCTGCAATACTGCGTTTTTCCTTCCGAAACAAGGCAGTAAATTTGTATTTTCAAAGTACAAAAGCAGTAAATCACATGTTACTGCCTTATGATTTACAATAATTAAGGACGGAATGAATGAATTCATTTTAGGCCTAAACAACAATTATGATCCGAAATTACATTTAAATGACTCTGTATAAAGTTAGGTAACTATGCAATATTCATTCTCTTCTGTACTGTCATAATAATACTATGTATTTAGTTCGATAAGATCCAGAACTTTTAACTCAATTTTCTCATTTACATTTTACTGTCTTTTACCTAGGCTTTTGTTAACCTTGGAACAATTTCCTTATGGGCTAAAGCTAAACCACCCGATAGCACAGCCCACGCAAGACGTGCCCTACAAAACTTCGTGAAGACAAGCTACTTGAACACAAGTTGAAACTTGTCATACGAACAAAGACATGCGCACCTATGCAGGTGTTACGAGTATGAATATTCATTGATTCTAGAGCTCTTTCTACATCAGGCCGAGAAATTTTCATATTATCCTCCTACGGTATGATATTCCTACTCTATAATCTCCAGGACACTCCGATGTTATGATTTCGTGCAATTCTTTTACAGATATTTCTTTTGGTGGCGGTATAGCTTCTGTTTTGCAGATATTCACAAATACTTTTTGTCCTGCCACTTCTCTGGCCTTTACACAAAAACCTGAAGCAAAGAGTAAAATTGCCTGTATTCAACAACTCAAGACAAAAAGTACTAAAATTGAACCAGAGTCTAAGCACCCCGATTCTTGCAGGTACTCGTTTAATAAGGGGAATAGAAGCGAAGAGAAAAGCTGCGAAACTCTTCGGCTGTGTTACGTCATACTATACATAATTAATGATAGCCCGCACACAGGAAAGACGCGAAGTGAAGTGACGTGTCACGTTTAACGAATAGGTTAGAAGAAGCCAGCTTACGGTATGTTTCACGAGTATCCATTACAGTAGAATAACAGCTGATTATCTAGTGACATATCAGAACTCCCCATATTGACAAGTGGCACATAATTCTGTGGGATCCGCCAACGCCAGGTAGACAGATCTATTTTTAGATCTTTTGTTGTGGTTCTTTGTACGCTACAGATTAATTTATTTAGAAAAGTCCCTTCGCAGAAAACGCTACAAGCCAAATGGCTGCTAATGATCATAACTACATTTCAAGACAGGAATAAAATGAGTTAAACCATTTTTGACTATGTTAAACATATCTACTTTTTATAACATGAAACACACCATATGATTTTAAAGGGCAATGAAACAGCTACACAATTAATTCAGAATGTGCGGCAGTATATAACCGCGTTGATAGAGGTTCGATTTTCTAAACTAGGCCTGAACATTACTCAGTTAATTCTTACAAGTTAGATATTACAAAAATGTAACATTATTGAACCAGCTTCTGCAGTCAGTTGACGAATCAAGCTGAAAATTTAATCATTTTACTAGTAAGGGACACTGAATATATATGCCAAGAATTATTAAAATCGGATAAACATACGCAGGTGTTTACTGTTTTTGTCACTCCGTATATTTTTACAGCTAAAATTCCAACTACTGTACAGGACAACGCAGCCTTCCTTGACTCACCTTGTAATCAATAAATCCCAGATCAATTATAATAATTTTCTAATAAACATTTTTTATCTGCATTTCGTACATTTTATTGTCACAATTCCCAATCATTTAAAAGTATAATCCAGATATGTGAACAAACGCTCTGAATACGGTCCTGATGTATATTATTGCCAACGTTACATAGATAATACAAAGATGTCGATTTTGTGATCAACTGTTCACCTCAGTAGACGACAAAACGTATTCGATACTCATGAAAAATACATTATATGTTTGCATTGCACTGTTTATCGAAAAAATTCGGTAGTTTTGGTGTATAGCTCATTTGCCTACCATTGTCTAACAAGGTGACAAATCAATACATAGGCGTAATTTTTTTTATTTGGATAGAATAATATAACATTAGGTTGGTTATATTGTTTATTAAAATATCAATTAGTAATGATTCAATATTTATTAATCAAAAATAACAATAATACACCGAAGGAATATTAAGGGATATTAAAATTCAACAGTAATGCCATAGTGACAATATTAATTTCAAATAATTACGATAAAGAAAGATCAAATCAGCACACCAACTAATCAGAGGATATGACTTTTAGCGTCGGATAAAACAGGTTTAAGTGAACCACCTTGACAAAATACTTTGTTTCTCAGTTCTAGTTGTCTAATTGTAACAACGACATTCAGTTGAAGCTATTTTCAACTAGGGAAAACGCGTTGTTACTAAGACCGGTTTTAACTCTAACATAACGACTATCATTCCGGAACGGTGTAATTTTAAAGATCAAATCTGTATATTGTATCCCATTTCGAAGCCAATTACAAATAAAACTGCACGTTACGTATGTATGCAACTTAGTATGTTATCAATTAAAAATACAAGGCATCATCTTGCATAATATAACGAAATCACAACAAAAATGCCTAATCACAGAGTGATAACTACTAAAGGTAGGTTTCCATTACAAAGAGTTGCAGGCACATATACGCGGTGAATGTTGCGCAACATGCACCTGACTGGGCACATGTGCCACAGCAGGTTGCAGACTGTCAAAATGTCTGGTACACTACTGTTCAAAATGTCTAATTGAAAATGAAAAAATGCCGTCAAGTCGACTCTGTACTACACTGTCATCGTTCGTAAACAATTATCTTCGGCATATTAGCCCTCCTGAGAAAAAAGTTAGCTACGAAAATGTATAACAAGAAATTAAATGACCCTGCTCCTCCCCTTAGATAAATTCCTGCGGGCGCACATGATCGTTGCGCGGATGGCGATGTATTACAGCATACAGCCCACAGCAGCACGGAAGCCACTGCCGACTGCAACTCACGACCATCAGCCGGACCACGTCACAGGAACCGATATGCGATTGTTGGAGATATTTCCAAGTTTTACGTATAAATGATGATGATCTACTATATGATGAGTGAAATATGCCTACTAGGTGCGTAGAATTACTGGGGTTGGAGGCGTATAAATATACCAACGTAAAAAATTGAGATGCACACGCCCCAACCCCTAATCCCCAATTTTTATCCCCTACAATTTTTTTTTCGTAAATGAACAGGAGCCTCTGAAACGTAAAAATACGAACTTTGCACGATTATTATCATTTTTTCGTTCTTGGGATAGTGTACTAATCCTGTCTGGTAACTTCATCTAAATCCGAGCGGTACTTTCCAAGTTATAGACAGGTCAAGGATTAGCGGACAGACAGAAAGACAGACCAAAAGACAGGCCGTCAGGCAGACCGACAGACAGACCGACGGATATGAGTGACATGGTTTTTCGTGATTACAAGCCAATAAGCGCGGGAAGTAAAAGATACAAGCTGGATCATATAAGGAACAAATTAGATATGAAGCAATTTTTGTTTATTTTACTCCCTAGTCTAATATACCTAATATAATAGTATTGTAGACGCATTGTAACGCTAGGTATATTTGCACATCCTTTTTTCATACTCAATCCTTCATGGTATTCTATATTTTATTCTATTCCTCAAGAATAGATCTTTCAAGATGCCCGACGCCTTTTTCGCGTTGTTTCGGAGCACATTTTGTGAATTGTTTTTTGAGGGCCCGATCAAGTTCATTCCAAAGAAATTCGATCGGATTCAGATTGTGGACTAAGAGGAGAGAAACACATTGTTTGCAATTATGCTCTAATTATTTTTGAGCAACAGTTTAGATGAGCGAGTGAGATCGTCGACTTGATTACATAACCCTGATCCAATAAGTCTTCTTCCCATGGTAACCACTAGGTTAAGCTGAGGTGTCCTATTCTTTTGAAGACCCTTTCAATTATAATAAAAATAATAATATGCCTTTATTTGACCTGGCGGGTATATCAGCTAATAGCTGCTTTTGGTACTAACCAGGGCTACATAAGAATAACAAACATAAAAAAATTACAGATACAAAAAAATAATGATCAAGACATATAGTACTGAGAAGTAACGAGTACAACCTAATAGTGTGTAAAGTGTGTAGACAGATTTAAATCACATACACTCACGCACTCACTGAGACAGAAATAATAAAAAAGAGAACAGAGAAACATCATTCAATCATAGACTCGTCACGATCATTGCGGAAGCATACCCATGTCTCATGGATATAATTATGCAATTGGGGATGGTTATTTTGTGAATCGGGCCTTATTCATACGATTTCACAGCTTCCTAAGCACATTTCATAAACAATCTGAGGTGCCGTGTAGAGCGACTCCAGAGTGCTAAAATAACGTTTTTTATAGCCGATAAATGGGTAAGCCAATGGGCTTTGCTCCTCAGAACTCTCCTCCATGATGCCTGCGCGATACGTGCCTACCAGACAGACCCGCGTCACTTCCGCCTCCATCCTAACCGTGTCGAACTTCGTACGTCCAGAACTGGCCGATACGACCGCTCCTCCGCTATGGTGTCGGGATTCTCGAATAATCAACAAGAGGAGGCTTTTCTTTGGCCGCGGTACCCTGGCATTTAGGCATCTGCCTGCGCGGCTGTTTTGGGTGTAAAAAAACTGATTTTTGGGAATCAGAATAGAATATTCTATTCAAAAGTCCAATATGGCGTCTGTAAGATAAAATGAAGTTGATAAATGAGGACAAGAGGCGATTGCATTTTGTAGTGGAAAAAAGTGCCAAAATGTTCTTTATTTTAAAATCCCATCTCAAATAAAGCCAGGAAAAAATAACGATTTTGGGAAAATTCTACGGAGATAGTGTTTTATCAAGAGCCCAGGTTTTACGGTGGTTTAATGCATTTTCAGGAGGGAGTCGATTGAAGATGAACCACGAAGCGGAAGGCCTTGATGTTCAAGAACCGATGAAAATATCGACAGAATCTGGGATCTTGTGCGTTTAGATCGTCGGCTAACAGTCAGAACGAAAAGTTAAATTTGACTCACGCCACCATCAGATCAAGAACAACTCCGTGTTGCATTACGATAATGCTCCTTGTTACATAGAAACTGTCAATAAACGACCTTTGGGCCAGTAAAAACATTCGTGTACTTCCTCCTCCTTTTTTCTCTTCCCGAAGTTGAAAAATCATTCAACGGAACACATTTTGGGATGGTCGATAACGTTCAAACTGCTATAACCGACCAGCTGGAGTTTGGAGTTTCAACGCTGCTACGAGGAGTGGAAGAACCGTCTCCAGCGCTTTGTAGCTTCAGAAGGGCGTTATTTTAAGCGTAACAATACAAAATTGTAATTATATTTGAATAAAAAAAATCACACTCTTAATTTACAGTCCTCGTAACATGCGAGCGGAAGAGATCCTTGAATATCTGTAACACTTCGTCCGTACAAAAATGCCGGGCACATGTTGCAAAGTGATCCACGGCGTAAGTTGTGATATGCTATATGCGAAGCAACTTTATTGTACTGGAGACGTACCTAAGTACGACATAAGCAAACACGAATCCGTTTGACACGTGTAGGTGTATAACGTTTGATTTTTTCAAGTGGAATCCCTATCAACTATGTTTACCTTTAACAGTCACCGGTATGGTATCGGCATTGAAATAGCATATTCAGCCGGTGCTTTTCTTTCAGTTTCATTCAAAAACCGATGCTCACCGAGACGCGAAGCTGTATTCGTGTTCTGTGGATAGATCAATGTCGTTTTTTATGTGATGCATACGTAATGTGGTGTAATAATTGAATCAAACGGTGAGTGAGAAAAAGTAGCATTGTATACCTATCGTTAGAATAGGACCGAATCATATTTACTGAACAATCAAATAAAAAAGTGAGACCCACAGAGATTGTTACAAACGACCTGACGTTGCTAAAGATGTTTTCAATCAGGCGCTGGACAAAATTAGTATAATTAGTTGCATACAGACAGAAGAACCTTGTATTCAAAAAAAGAAGACTGACACAACATACTAAAACTATAGCGTTTGGTGATGAGTTGAGATAAGTACTCGATAAGCGATTCAATGTAGAAAACACCAGTTTGTCAACTTCCCAGTCTGCCATTTTGAAATAGAGTGATTTTATATTTCTGGGATAAAAAGTGCTCATAAGTGTTCAAAATATATATGACCCCTCATTTCATTTCTAAAAGTGCTAGAAAAATAGCGCCCAACCATCATCTTGAAATTTTTAACCATTATTTTCACATTAAAATATAGTATTCCTGCGTTAATTTCATAATCCAGAATTTCAGTTTGCTAATATGCCCTATTCAAAGAAATACATAGAAGGAGGAACTTTTCTAAAAATCACTGTGTATGAAAAACCACGGCGCATTTGCCTTGAATACGTGTATATAATTATGCAACTTTTGTAACTGACCTAGCAATCACAGAAAAGTAATTAACATTCATTCTCACGTTACTGTTGATATTCAACTTTTAATATATAATATATATAAATCACACAGCTATAAAATCTAATATAAAAAACTATTAGAATCTTAATTTCCTTGGAAATTACGTAATCCGCATAAAAGGTCAACCATTCAAGGATGTTACCAAAAATTGCCTAGCGGCTATTGAGAGATAATACATATGGTTTCCGAAAAAAGAAGATGGATTATCAGTATTGGAATAACAAAAAATTTGAACGGCGGATATTAACCAAGCTGACCTGGTTAACCGATTTTGAATAGACACAAGTAAGGCATTAACCCCATTAGCTTGTGGCGACTCAAGTAGTTTCAATTAAGTCCCACGCAAAAAAATTTGTGCTATATAAGTTTTCTCCTCCTCTTGATGCTTTCCATTACCCCCATATGTAAGACTTGCATACGAAGTTCTCGCACTTGTTTTAAAAGATACAAACAAGAATGTTGGGCATAGAAAGTGAAGTGCTTAGTAGAGAGAATCGCTATACGTTTATTATGGTAAAAAATATGTGTATTTCAAAATTGTGTATATTCTTGTAACGTCTGTGGTTAAATGACCAAGCATGGTTAAATAACCAAGCGTGACATCGGAATGGCGTCAAGAAGTTGACGCTGTACTTTCCACGCTACGATGTCATCAGTTCGAGGGCCACGTCGCACGTATGTCACCCGACTGTAGGAGATATTTAATTGGTAAATCTATGATGAGTGAAATATGCCTAATATGTGCGTAGAATTACTGGGATTGGAGGCGTATATATACCAACGTGAAAAAAATTGAGATTTACCCTCCCCCACCCCCTGCAATCTCTGACCCCCAATTTTTAGCTCCTACAAAAAGTTTCCGAAAACGGTCAGGATCGTCTGAAACGTCAAAAAACGAAGTTTGGGCAACTTTTTTTTCTCTCCGCTGCCACTGGACCGATTTACCAAAAATTTTAGCGTCCTTATCATAGTAGTAACATTGTGTAAGTATGTCATCGAAATCCGACCGGTGCTTTCCATGTTTCAGGTTATAAAATTAGCGGACAGACCGACAGACAGACAGAGAGCCACGGAAATGAGTGACATGGTTTTCCGTGACGTATTCACATGTCATATAACATCCAAAAACAATATCTCATTTTCGAAAACTTTCGCGAAAGGAATACTTCCCCGCCAGTGCGCATGCGAAATAAAAGCAAAAAACCAGCGCATCCGTTTTTTAGGGACATGCTTCTCTCGTTGTTGTATCTTCAACGATAACTTAAAAAGTATTCTATGTCTTTTTCTAACGCGGTCTCCAGGCGAACTGTTCGACCTAGGAGTTTCAGATTTAACAAGTCTCTTGTTTCTATAGGTTTTCTTCAGTAAAACAAACTTGAGCCATGTATGAGTCATGACCAGCCTTCCAATATCGTAAAAATGCTCAACCTTGGTTAAAATATCGAAAATTGGATCCAAAGGCCTGTCCGACCAATTTAAAGGCGTGAGTACGAAATTTCATTGATACATATAGCGAGATAGGAAAAATCAGTGTTGTTAATGTTTCGTTTCGGAAGGCATTCGAATTGTCAACCCAATAAACTAGTAAAAAATTCGAAAAATGGTTTCGATCAACGACTTCTAGATCCATATGCAAAAATTCCTCACACAATTATTTCTGCATACCGAACTGAAAAAAAAAACATTATACTTCTCACCGCTACTGTACCATCATAAACTACTCAGACTAATCTATGCATTTCTTATGAATAAACTCTGTTGATGAAATTCTTAAACCCAGTGAGAATCAAGACACGATATTTATGAAGCCAAGGTTATTAATAAAAAACAAGGATGCTAGGCAGGTTCTTAGGTAATAATTATCTTCAATTTGAATCATTCGAGTCTGACGGATATTTTAAGAACGTGCATACCGAAGAGAATAAATTAACAATGGGCTACTGACAACAAAATATAGTTTTGAACCTCACTCAATGAAATTTGATATAAAGGTGGAAGCGGTTAAATATCTTGGGAAGTAGTATTACATCTTGTAACACTATACGGGGTGAGCGTCTAAACTTATGGCTTACATTTGAAGAAGCTTTCTCGATGGGAAACTGCAGGTTTTTTTGAACGCATATAATGTCGACACATGCGAGAGACAGACCAGTACAAGACGCCAAAATGGATGAAAGACCATTCATATTCTCTCATTTCAGGGTTTCTTGATCAATTCTTACGCTACTGAGCGGGGCGGTGGCAAATGCTGTTCCGGAAGTTGTACCGATTGCCGAATGGTAGTACAATTCGGCCAACGGTCCACTTTAGGCTATCTCAACATTATTAACACCAAGAAGGTGGTAGTCAAGAACCAGATGACCGAGGCGGTACCACCAGCTAGCTTTTCCGGGGTGTCTTAAGATTGTTTCCACACCTAAGCTACGCAGTCGGTTATATTTCCCATCAAAGGAACTAATGATCATGGATCTCTCAAGAGCTGGGAAATCAGAACATAAACTCACTCCACTCTCGGAATGCGTGGGTGTAGGATGGACTCGAGGGAAGAACATCGATGATAAAATTTGTTCCACGAACATCTGCGGGATTAACAGCAACAATGATGCTGTTCATCACTACCTGCAATCCAATCGTCCCGCCATTCTCTTCTTGTCGGAGACAAAAATCTCAAAGTCTGCACCGATTAATCATCTTAGCTTCCCAAATTACGAGGTGCACTTCAATCTCGGAAAGAACGGGGGAGTTATGTCTTTGGTCCACAGTGCTCGTAGTATTTCCTGCTCCAAAGTCGTTTCTTTTGAAATCAGACCGCAAGGACATTCTGTGGCTTCGCCTCAACTTCAAATCGTCCCCCAAATTTATGCCTGTATCGCTCTCCCGGGGACTATAACTGGGAATGACCTACTGAATACCTCGCTATCAAGATCGACTTCTGAACATCAATCCCCGCTTCAGAGGTAGTTCTCGTGATTTCAACCCATAATTGAGCTATGGTTGGGCTCAAACAAGACCGATGCAGCAGGTCGTGCAGTTGAAGCGTTCGCTATTACCCCAGGACTGGGCCAGCTGGTGACGAGCCCCACTTTTTCCCCCGCATTTCGTCACGCGCCAATAGCCTGTTGGATCTTTTCCTGACGACGCATTGAGTCCCTTACAGCACTGCTGGCCTGTCTCCCCTGGGTAACTAAGACCACGGTGTTGTGGAGGTTAGGTTTCGGTCAGAATCCGCTGTGGCAACAGAAACTGCCAGGCCACAAAATTTGGCATTACGGACATGGCGATTGGCAGGGGCGCAGAGACTTCTTCTCCACATTTCCTTGGAGAAATGTTTGTTTCGCTGACGCGGATGCGTCGGCTGTCTGTTGATCCATAACCGAGAGTAGCCTTCCACCATTCACGTGTCAGGATGGAACGACTGCAACCGATTCAAAGGCTAAGGCGGAAGTGCTTGTCAAGATCTTTGCTGCCTACTCCACCATAGACGTCCCCCTCAACGCACGAGTGTCGTCGATTCAAAAGGTTCCCTACACTATGCTGGAAGTAACATAAGCATAAGATCTTAATATGGGTGCTATTGTCGCTCGAAGAAGTGTGAAGCGGAGCTTTTTCCAAATCTTTCGCGTCTCTTCCAGATATGTTACGAAAAACCCAGGAAACTGGAAATCTGCTCACGTCCAACCGATTCAAAAAAAAGGTATATAAGACCGACCCTTACAATTATTACAGGCCTATAGCTTTGCTTTCTGTTATAACTAAGGTGATGGGGAGGTGCATAAATAACGAGCTTAGCGCGAGGCAGTATGGTTTCTGGTATTAGCGATCCATAGGGAACCTCCTAGCTTAAGTCACGTAATTGTGGAGTAAACTTATCCAATCTTATGGTGAGGGTCATGTCGTTGCTCTTGGTATCACGAAAGCCTCTTATGCAAACTTCCATCCTATGGCTTACCACAAGAGCTTTGCAGATGGGTTCTCTTCTTCATCCCACAACGTCAACATGGGAGTTCTCCAGGGATCGGTCTTGGCTCCGACATTGGTCCTCTTACATATCAACGACCTCCTTTCCTGTACGATGAACCCAATCCACAACTTTGTTGATGACAGCACTCTACATGCAAGAATGGATTCTCGGACACATCGTCAATAGCGGTAGCTGCTAGGAAAAAGCTAAGCTATTTGTTTAGGGCTAAGAAGTACTTTTCTCCATATGACCTCCTCACTCTATACAAGTCTCAGATAAGACCTAGCATCGAGTATTGCTCTCACGTCTGGGG